ATATGACTCCAGACATTCGTAAAAGAGAATTCATGAAAATCAGAATCAAAAGGATATCTTATGACATCCAAATTTTGCATTGCAACAAACTTCTAGTGACTCAGTCTCTATTTTTGTTCTATGGATTTATTTGTCCACATCTTGAGCTGCTTATCATGACTTTGGAGCATAATTATGCCAAATAGCATAATGTGTACAGGCATTGAAGGAAGGTGACTCATTAATGAATGCTGTAAAGCTGAAAGAAGCATTGCCGTTCTATGAAAAGGTTATGGAGAAATTAACTTTTAAGGTAACTGCTACTTGCTAAAACCGAAAGAAGTACAAGTTATATTTTTGCTTAGTAAGTTTGTTAATCTCCCTCTCGAGTTCACTAAATATAATGAAAACGAAAACTTCTTAGATTAATCATGTCTCTGCAGAGTGAGCTGCATGGATTAACTGCTTTGCAGTGGTCAATTTGTCAAGACTCCCTCAGCAGGTATATGTAAAACTCCCACTTAGTTTGAATTAAAAAAATAAAAATAAAAATAAAAAACTTGAATTTACTGGATCAGCATTATTCAAATCTTTGTGTTATATGTGTTTAATCCAGCATCTTTTGTTTCTTCATTCGAGAATTAAAAAAGGTTAATTTATTTCAATGACTAGTACCTATCTTTATATTTCTCTTCGAATAATACATAACTTGCCTCTATATTTTTCATGTTCCTTTGCATGGAAAGACAAAGTGCAAGCACCAAATTCTTTTATTTAGACACAAAATGTTTCAATGTGACAAAGGATATATACCTCCAACGCATGCTCATAATTCCAAAAAAAAAAAAAAAAAAGAACCTAAACAGAGCCTCTCACATCATATTTGAAATTCAATTTAGTTGTAACACGTTGGTTAGAAGAAATCTCTGGATATTTTCATTATAGAGAGAACCGGGGCTGTCTCTTGGTGGAGGAGTCTTTTATTCAAAAGGAAAATGTTATCTACCAGACCTCCTTATGCCAAAAAAACATAATAATTACATTGGGAATACAGAGATCTGACCCAGAATTCAAACCTAACCAGGCATTGATACCTTGGGGTTAAGTAAGGTTTCTCAAAAGCCTTGATGTGTGTCATTCCAGAAATAAATCTTTCCCATCAAAGCGATGTAATTTAAGCCTCATTGAGGGAGATAATGCCAATTCCCAGGATTTTCTACCTGATGGGAGGAACAATATATGGCCAGACAAAAGCTCGAGATATTGAATGTTAAGGATGTTGCTGATTCTGCATACGAAAAGTCTCCTAGCTATGATCATTATATCACATACCATCTATTGAATAAGAGTTGCCTTTTTTATTGCCTTTGACTCTGTCATAACTAGGATCATCATTATTTAAATCTTATTTTGGGGCCATAATAGCCTTTTGATTTGAAAGCCTAGGTAGATGCTCTTTACTTTTTTCTCTTGCCTCGTGTAACAACTTGATGAATTGACAGGTCCAATGAAGCTCGACTTATGTATGAGAAACTCCAGTCTCACCCAAATCCTAAATTGAGCAAGAAAGCAAGACAGTTCATGTTCAGCTTTCAGGTAATATTTTGTTCCACATGAAAATATTGCTGCTGTTTTTTTTTTTTTTTTGGGGGGGGGGGGGAGGACAGGAAAACCCCATATTTGTGAGATCATATTGACAGAACTGGGACTCAATCTTCTCCCTCTCTCTTTTTATTTCAGTAACAATATATATCAGGACTTCTTAAAGTAATTAGATCTAGGGAGAAGTATAATCAAGTCTCAAGGAAGAAAAATAATTACTGAAAAATCCTAATAACAATCTAAGCAATATGTAATGACAAATTTCAGAAGGGAAAATGACAACTTCTGGGATTTATTTTGTAATTATTTTTCTTCTTTGGGATCTCATTGTAATTCTCCCTTAGATCTATTTATTTTACCTTCGAATCTCATGATGCATAGTTATACTTTCATATATTGAAAATTAATAATAATTAACTGGTTATAATTAAATAGTATTTGACAATGCACATATTAGCATGCCCTGACTTCTCCACCTAAGCCCGTCACAAAAATAGGAAAACTTTTGTTTTGTATACTTGTTGCCATGCATGATGGTTTAAATCTTAAAACCTGGCAGGCTATGGAAATGATGAAGGTGACAACAGGATCTCCATTTTCATGGAGCACAGGCTACCAGAATTATTTTGATGCTTTCATGGAAAGCAAGTCTAACTACCCTTTACAAGAAGACCTCAATGTGCAAGAAAGGGCACTTAATCAAGTTCTGCCTTATCTTCTCTCTCTCATTTCTCCTATCTTCATGGTAATATTTGTTGCCCTGCAGAAGAGAATATAAACAGTTTTTTTTTTTGGGTATATAGACAACTTCTCTATTGTATATATATGTCACGCACACCATGTCTTGTTTCATAGTTGTGAGCTTCCAGGGAAAGGAGAATCGGTGTACTGTTCATTTGTATCACTGCCTTATACATACACTTAATAAATACTGTTAACCCACATCTGTACAAAAAAATACAGCTGATGCTTGCAGCTACTTATTACTATACATAACTACCTCTGTCACCTACTCCCTATAATAGTTTTGGTGCTGTTATGGAAGTGGAGAAGTTAGATCTTCTACATTTCATGGAGTTTAAGAAACAAGTCTCAGCGGTGTAGTGTGAATGTTGATCTAACCCAGTTAGTAGAATAAGACTCGTTATTATTACTTGCAATTTGTGAATAATGTAGCTTACTATAAGTTTTTATTTGATACTGATGACGACTGATGATTCATCTTATCAGCAGAGAAGAATGGAAAATTGCTGCTGCCACATTTGGTTCTTGAAAAAGATAGTGTTATGAATATGGTTTATTTGGAACTTGCAAAAGCCTGTTGCTTAAGTTCACACTTCGAATCCATATAAGCTTTTGATACATATATGTGTGCGCGCCCGTGTGTGTGAGTGTGAAGATCCGAGTTTGCCCTAAGGCAAATGTATAGCCTCCTATTTGGACTGCAGTTTTTTTTTCTTCTCTTTTTGGGGAAAAAAGGCAAAATGAAAATATATTAACTCATGAAATGTTTACATATGATGGAAGAAAACTGAATGAAAACTGAAATCAATAAACTGTGATAAGAAAAACTGATTGGCATTTGGCAACATATATGTCAACTGTAGAGAATGTCGAGGTCATGACTTGTATTTGTTTGAAGCTTAGTAGATGGCATGAATTTGGTGCTTTATAAACATATTTTGATGGTCCTCATCTCTTGAATGAGTTTGAAATTTGTAGGCACTTTGAGATGTCATGGATATGATTAACTAACTAATTGGTCAAGATGGATCTCAAATCTCACAAGGATGTAGAGAGTCTCCGAAATTCAACTTTATCTCATTTTTTTTTATAAAATAAATTACATTCTTACTAAAAAAAATATTGTCTTTTTTTAAATAATTTAATCCATTTTTAAATCAGTAATTTTTTTTTACTAATATCTCTTACTATACAAATGAATTACAATTGCACTATTTCAAATCAACAATATCTCATATTTAATACTCCTCGGGTTCTTAATATATGACCTAATTATTGAGTTGATTTTGGTCCTAAATATAAAACTTATTTCTCATATTTATCAATTTTTCCTAAATTACCTCTGTGGATATTCTCTCAACCATAATTAAGTAGAAGAGGGAGGGAGGATATTAAGAAAGATGATTATGGTATTTTAGGAAAAATATGTTATATTTCTTATAATTAACTAACTTACCTAATTTTCTTAATCTAATCAAATTAGTTAAATAGATCTTATATTAAGGATTGGAGGAGTATTTACTTATATAAGAAGTATCAAACACTCATTTCATTATATAAAAAAATATAAAAGGTTAATATTCTCTTTAATCTTTAATGAAGTTAAATTTCGAGATTAAAAACTGTATTAAATTTTTTTTACATAAATTTATATAATAAAGATATATAATTTCAGGGTATGAGGCGAGGAATCTCCATTGAATCGTAAAGCACAATGCAAGATCGCTTTCAAGTCTGTGCTGTGGTGGATATTTTCTTGCGTGGTTGACGGGATGAAGATGATAATGAAATGATTAATACGCAGTCCAAAACACTTCGAAATGTCAAAGAAGTATAATAATGGAATGAACTGGGAACTCGAAGTCTTCATTTTGATCGATATTTTGTAGCGTGGTTGACGGAGTAAAAAGTGAACGCATTTTGCCATTTTCTGGCCACACTCACAAAACCCACAAAGTCACACACTCCTTCCATTGCAATAACCTTTCCCACTCTCGCATTTTCATCACGTTCTTTTTCGGTTTGCATTTGCACAAGCACAACATCTTCATCTATGGCGGGAGCTTTCGTCGGCGGTGCTTTTCTTTCTGCTTTTCTTCAGGTGGCTTTTGATAGGCTGGCTTCTCGGGATGTTCTGGACTTCTTCAACAAACCAAAATTGAACCAGGCATTGCTCAATAAGTTGAAGTTCGTCCTGTTATCCATCGATGCCGTGGTTGACGATGCAGAGCAAAAGCAGATCACTAATCCGAAGGTGAAGGACTGGATTGATTTGGTTGAAGATGCCGTGTTCGATGCTGAGGATGTCTTGGATGAGATTGATTATGAAATGTGCAAGCGCAAGCTGGAAGCTGAACAAAAGAGTCGAAACAGTGCTATTGGCAAGGTACGAAACTTCTTTAGCGCTTCTGTTAGTTCATTTGAGAAGGAAATTGAATACAGGATGAAAAACGTCCTTGAAAATCTGGAATATCTTGCATCTCAAAGGGACATATTAAGATTGAATGAACGTATAGTCGTGCTAGATTGGAAACTGCTATACCAGATAGATTGCCAACTACATCTTTAGTGGATGAAGCCGGAACGTATGGTAGAGATGATGACAAGAAACCATCATTGAATGGCTTCTGTCAGAAAAGTATAACAACCAACTATCTGTGATTTCTATAGTGGGTATGGGTGGTCTGGGTAAAACTACTCTTGCCCAGCTCGTATATAATGATAGAAGGGTGATGGATGGATTCAACCTCAAAGTTTGGGTGTGTGTCTCTGATGAGTTTGATGTGTTGAGGGTAACAAAAACAGTTTATGAGGCAATCACTGGATCTAAGGATGATACCAATGATTTAAATATGCTTCAAATTAAATTGAAACAACAACTAACTCAAAAGAGGTTTCTCCTTGTTTTAGACGACGTGTGGAATGAAAATTTTATGCTATGGGAGGCCTTGCAATCACCATTTAATCATGGGGCTGTAGGAAGCAAAATTCTTCTAACCACCCGCAGTGGAAAAGTTGCTTCAACCATGCGTTCTGCTAATATACTTCAATTGAAGCCGTTATCAGAAGGAGATAGTTGGTCATTATTTAGTAGATATGGATTCCATGATGGAAATGTTCATTGTGCAAACTCCGACTTTGAAGAAATTGGTAGAAAAATAGTAAAAAATGCAAAGGGCTGCCTTTGGCTTTGAAAGCCATTGGGAGTCTCTTATACACAGAATCATCTCATGAGCAATGGAATGAAATTTTGAAAGTGAGATATGGGAGGAAAAAAGTGATAGCAAGATTCTCCCTGCTTTGAGATTGAGTTATTGCTACCTCCCCTCTCATCTCAAAAGATGCTTTGCTTATTGTTCAATATTTCCCAAAGATTATGATTTTGATAAGGAGCACTTAATTCAACTTTGGATGGCAGAAAATTTTTTGACATGTGCTCATCAAAGCAAAGATGGGAGAGAAGTAGGAGAACAATTCTTTCATGACCTTTTATTGAGGTCACTTTTTCAACGGTCACTAGTAGATAACACTCGTTTCGTCATGCATGATCTTATTAATGATATGGCAAAAGTTGAATATGGAAAGTTTTGCCATAGGTTGGAGTTAGATGATGTAAATAACTTGACAGAAATGACCCGCCATATTTCATTTTTGAGAAATACTATTAATACATTCGAACGATTTGAGGTTATACACAGGGCTAAAAAATTGCGCACTTTCTTGCCTCTATCTATGCAAGGTCATAGAAGTACAAGCTGTAACTCCATTCTTCACTTTATATCTGGAAAGTTTACTCACAATTTGCCATCCAAGTTCACTTGCATGCGAGTTTTATCTTTGTCTGATCATTTCATCATGCAGTTACCTGATTCAATAGGAAATCTCAAACATCTCCGTTATTTGGACTTATCAGGAACTAAAATAAGGAAACTACCTGATTCAATATGCCAACTTCTCATTTGCAAACGCTAAAGTTGTGGCGTTGTTGTCTTTTGGAAATGTTGCCAATGGATTTTCATAAACTCATGAATCTACGTCACCTTGATTTTCGTGAAACTCAAGTGAGAGAGATGCCAAAGCAATTGGATAAATTGAAAAATCTTCAAGTGCTGTCATCATTCATTATAGACAAATCTGGAGAGACCAGCATCAAATATTTAGAAGGACTTGATCTTCATGGACCACTTTCCATCTCGGGATTGCAGAATATGGTTCCTTCTAGGCTGCTTTAGCGGTCAATTTGAGAAGCAAGATACACCTAAAGGAGTTAACATTAGAATGGTGCATAGACAATGAAAATCACCACATGATAAAGATGTGCTGGAGAACTTTCAACCGCATAAAAATTTAAAAAAGCTATCAATTGCCAACTACGGTGGTATTGAGTTTCCAAATTGGCTTGCAGATCATTCGTTGTCCGATTTAGTGTCCCTAGAGCTAAGGCATTGCAAATACTGTGTATCCTTGCCATCAATTGGCCTCTTTCCATCGCTCAACACTGTCAATTATAGGGTTTCATAATATAGTAGCTATTGGTCCAGAATTTTGTGGAAGTAGCTCTAATGCTTCATCCCTAGAAATCTTGAGGTTTGGAGATATGAAGAGCTGGGAGGAATGGAAGTGTGAACTTGTGTCACTAACTTTCCCTCATCTTCAAGAGTTGAGCATAGAAAATTGTCCCAAATTGAAAGGGCAACTTCCTCAACAACTTCCTTCTCTAAGGATGCTAGTAATTTCCAATGTGAGAAGCTTTTGTCTTCCATTCCCCAGGATCCATCTCTAGATAAAT